GCTATCCATCAGCGCTTTGGTGACTTTCATTACCATCACAAAAGAAATGAAGCTCAAGCCATCGTTCACTACACCAAGGTTGGTTAAGAGGTGCAAAGCAATCGATTGAAATACGATTAAAACCAGTATTAATTGGAACGTGAATCACATGACCTCAAAACTCTGTCACGTGACCAGCACAGACCCCTGAAGGGCAAAACATGTCCCAGAATAAAGCAGTGGACACAGCAGCTGTACTGGTTTGTTGTTGTAAAGAGAGCTGAGCTTGAAGTCAGCTCTGTTTGTTTACTGATCAGTTCACCTTCACCTGTAGCCACGAGTTGTGGGCAGCGACTGAAAGAATAAGATAAACGATCCTTGCAGCAGGAACGACCCTCCTCTGAAGGGTGTCTACAGTTTTATCATTCATGAGGAGCTCAGAGTAGAGCTGCTATTCTTTCACCTGGATGTCTCCTAGGTGTTTGAAGCATGCGTTACACGAGAATGTCCTCATTTTTCCAGCACACTCTGGAAAGATTATAATCCTCCGCTGTCTTGGGAATCTTTGGTGTCTCTTCCAAAAAGGTTGTATCAAAAGAGATCTGGAGAAAACTGCTGTCTTTTTGCTAAAAGGTAGTAGATGTATGCACTAAGTTGAAAAAAAATCTACATCCGAAATCCACATAAGTCACGTATCATTTTACTAAATGAGTAAAAACAATTAAGTCCCTGCCGTAGCTCGTCTTGATGGAAGCACTGGAGAATGGATGATGAAGGTGGAGCTGCCAGGCATGGAAAATAATCCCTGCCTTAAACATGAGATTTAAGGCAGGGATTATTTTCGATAGTGTGGACGCAGAGCGTTTTCAGAAGAAAACGCCATTTTCAAATCTATCCAGGCCAGTGTGGACGTTGCCTAAATGAGTCTCACGCTTGACGCCATTTATAATTCTTAACTTGTTTGATCTGCCGATCACCACAAACAAGCACAAGCAGAAATTCTGGACTTTTAACTGTGTTTTCAGTGTTACAGTTTTTACTGCTGATAAAAACCTCCCTTATGGCCATTCACACAAAGCAATTAGGTACTAAACAGTGAAATGATCCTATTACAGATTTGCCTCTTTGTCACAGGTCCCTTTCTTTCATCATGTAGGAAAGAGTTAAATATGTTTCACTGATCGGGCCCACTTACGATTAAAGTGGGCTGCATCTGGCCCACCATGTAAAATGAGTTTGACACCCCTGCTCTAAAATAGGAATTCAGGCTAAATGAGCCCAAATCCAGAGGGCCACATGGCAGTAAACAATCAGAACATACACACACACTTGAATGTTATTAATGACCAATCAGTTATATCTGTGTTATTAATCTGCCTCCTGTGTCCTGCCTGCAGGGTCTCCTGATACCACTGAAGAAATATGAGAAGAAAATCTGTGCTAAGGTGAGCGCTAAAGGTTATGTGATTAAAGTCTAATCAGTGTTTATGGTCAAAATTTACTGAGACCAAGTCTCCTGTCTGCTGCACCTCTGGACCATTTTCATTAGCAGGACGTGAAGTCAGAGGGAGGCTAATCTGTCAGGTGGAAGATGATTTTAGATTCCTTCCTTTGCAGAAAACTTTGTGATATTTGATTTGTCCATCAAAGGATTTCTCCTTTATCTCTGTGTAGGGCCAAAATTCACTAACACAAACAAGGTGTTTGCGCGTATTTTGAGAAACCTCCCACCTGCTGAACAGGGACTGGCTCTCCTGCACCTTCATATAGACCCTGGCTGTATTCTGATAAAGCACACTCAGTGTACCTGTTTCCACACATCGTCTCAACACAGTACTGAGGGAGTGGAGTCTGGATTGTTTCCACAGTTGTCCTTTCTCTCACCTGCCAACCAGCTTGAATCAGTCCTGTTCTGTGGTTTAAGGCTGGGAGCTGCTGTACTCATATGTCTTCAGTTAGACATTAAATATTTTTTTAATCCTGGTCTGAGAAAGTCACTGAAAATAAAAGTCAGTTTCTCTAAATCCACAGAAATTCATTTGTCTTTGTTCCTCCATCTTTCCTGCAGAAACTCAAGAAGATCGCTGAGAGACGTCTGTCAAGGAATCCGGGTGATGGCGAAGCTCTTGCTCTGCTGGGTCAGGTGGCCAGAGCTGAGGGCAACAGGAAGGAAGCTGCTGAGTTTTATGAGAAAGCTCTGAACTGTGACAAGGACAATGAAGAGTACCTGTCTGCTCTGTGCGAGCTGCGCCTGGAGCTGCAGGGATCATCCTCTGATTAATCATGATCAATGCACCGCTGTTACATCATACTTCAGCCCGCTGAATGTGGACTTGATCCATGTGCTTTCAGAACTGCACAACCTTAACAAATGGGCCCTTCATACCTTTCTGTTAGGTATTAAATTATAAACCATGAAGAAGTTTATGTCCAGGTCTCTGCTCAGATACACTTTTACATATTAATTTAAACTGTTACAAAGAAAACCATTTCTGTTGATTTTAATAAAAATGAAGCTAGCAGGGTTCAAATTTGAGTAAGCGGGTCAAAGATTGTAGATTAACACATAAAATCTCAGATCACTTTTCAGGTTCACATATTTTCTGTGTTTTTACATGTCTGTAATGTTTGTTATATACTTGTAACAGCAGGTCAGTGCTAGCATCACAAGCAGCTGTGGGATGTGATGTCATCATAAAAAAAGAGATTTCAGGGTCATGAGAGTCATTTTCTATTTTAAATAATATTTTCATCTTTTACCTTTAACAAAAAATGTGTACAGGCAGAGGTCACTGTGACTCTGGATCTACAGCTGATGCTCGGCATCTTCCAGATGTTCCAGCTGTGCTTCACATTAAGAAATGAAACCTTTTCTAACTTTATTTAAACACGTCCATGTGAACAAGGCTCTGCAGCTTACCTGTGAGCCACCTTCTCACAGGGGTTACACTCACACATCATCACATCATTTAGGACACTTAAAGCTGCAGTTCACCTGAACCTTACCTGGACAACTGAGTATGTGTGAACACAGGATACACGAGTGTTACATTATTATAACGTTTCAGTCAGAATATTCTGAAAATTACAGAGGGATCTTACCACACACTCACACAGGTTACCTTGTAATGTTGATCCAACCGAGAATATCAGGCAACCATCAACATCATAGCGGTGAAAGAAGAAGTTTGTGAAAGAGCAAACAAGCTTGTGGCTTTACAGCACTTTAAAGTGCTGTTAGTTGTTTTAGTGTTGCTGACAGTGAAGACAGCAAGGTAGGGGAGTGCTGTGTTAGGAGGGGAGGCTGGGTGCCTATATTAGGGTTAGAGTCAGGGTAGAGAGGGACTGGGATTAGTAACTGTGTCCCTGTTGCTGTCCCCTATCATAACCTCCAATGAATTACAGTAGTCCAGCCTGGAAGTAATAAATGCATGAACTAGTTTTTCAGCGTCACTCTGAGACAGGATGTTTCTAATTTTAGAGATGTTGCGCAAATGGAAGAAAGCAGTCTTACATATTTGTTTAATATGTGCATTGAAGGACATATCCTGGTCAAAAATTACTCCAAGGTTCCTCACAGTGTTACTGGAGGCCAAGGTAATGCCATCCAGAGTAAGAATCTGGTTAGATACCATATTTCTAAGATTTTCAGGGCTTAGTACTAGGGGTGCAACAATACTCGTATCGATATTGAACCATTCGATACAGTGCTTTCGGTTCGGTACGCATATGTATGAACAATACAAAATTTGTAATTTATTTTATCAACTTTTCTTCTGACGATGCTGTCTGTGTTGAGCGCTCAGTGAATCTGCGTTCGACTACTCCGCCTAGGCTGCACTGTCGAGTGCAGATCCACTGAGCGCAGCGCAAGCTAGCAAGACAGAAGCTAAGCTCTCATTGCAACATGGCAAATTGAACCTCCCCCACCCTCATTCAGATCTGGCGTTTGGAACTATTTTGGTTTTCATGTGAAGCATGACCCTGAAGGTAAGCGCGTCATGGACAAAAGTAACACAGTATGTCGGATGTGCCACGCAATGCTCAATTGGTGGGAACTAGTGTGTTAGCGCAGCTAGCTTGTTAACGTGTTGACGCCGCCCAGCCCCACGCACGGGGCGATCCGCGGTAGCTCGTTAACGGAGATTTGCCGTGTTGTGGCTTTAACGTCATTTTAACGAGATTAATGCTGGCAGCACTAGTGGGAACACAACGAATATGACTGCACATTTACACTGGCATCATCCTAGTGCAAAGACAAGTGGAAGCAGACAAAAGCAACAAGCACACATGCTACAAACTTTACCGAGTCATTTAGACAGTTGTTAGCACATGATTCTCCTTATGGGGACCTGATATGTTTAATATGCTGCTGAGAATATAGCCCAGAAGAAGCGTATAGTATAGCTTTTATTTTGGAAAGAGCCATTTCTCTGTAATAAACTCTCTTTTCCAAAGATGAGTGATTTCTCGATCAGATAGATTTTTTATTTTATTTTGTTGTTTCAGCAACATTACATTAAAAAAAATGTACTTTTGAGTTAAAATATATATTTATAATTTTAATAAATGACAAATTAAAAAGGCATGAACATTTTTTGTATCGAAAAAATATCGAACCGTTACACCAAAGCATCGAACCGAACCGTGAATTTTGTGTATTGTTGCACCCCTAGTGAGTACAATTACCTCAGTTTTGTCTGAATTAAGAAGCAGAGAGTTATATTTTTAAAAACCTGAATAATCTTTATTTTCATAATTTCAGACCAGACCAGTTTAACAAAGATGTGGCAGTGGCACACATTCAAAAGACAAATTAAATTAACAACCAAAGAAAACTCAAGTTTTGTCAAAATACACATTTTGTAACACTTTTTGAAAAAATTAGCAAAATGAAATATTGAAAAAAACAAAAAAAAAACCCACTTTCCTAACACAAAGGTAGACAGCCACTCATGGATTTGGACTCTGAGAGCATTGCCCTTTGCTGTCAGCAGTTACATTACTCAAAGTGTTCACTGACAGATCGATTAATGTGAGTGTCCCAACACTGCAGTGAAAATGAAACAACCTAATTTTTACTACATAAAAGAGAAAGCCATCATGAAATTTGCAGATGACACCACCATCATCGGCTGCATTTCTGATGGAGATGAGGCCGCATACAGTGCAGAGGTGAGAGCCCCGACATCAACTTGCTGCTTAACATCAGCAAAACCAAGGAGCTCATCGTGGATTACAGGAGACTGCAGAGAGGAGGCCACACCTCCATCCACATCAAAGGAGCAGAGGTGGAGAGACTCAGCTACTTCAGATTCCTGGGCATCAACATCAGCGAGGATCTGAGGTGGTCACACCATGTTGGTGTGATCACAAAAGCAGCGAGACAGCAGCTCTTCTGCCTACGGCGCCTGAGAAGATTCGGCATGAACCCCAGAATACTTACAAACTTCTACAGAGCCACCATTGAAAGTATTCTGACTGGCTGCATCACCACCTGCTACGGCAGCTGTAATGCTCTGGATCTCTGCAGAGGGTGGTGAGATAAGCACAGCGCATCACCAGGACTGAACTGCCAGCCATGCAGGATCTTTACAGACAGCGCTGCGTGAGGAAGACGCAGCAGATCCTCTTTGATCCCAGCCACAGACTTTTCACACTCCTGCCGTCCGGGAGGCGATACAGAAGCATTCAGGCCCGCACTACCAGACACAGAGACAGTTTTTACCCACAAGCCATCAGACTTTTGAACTGCTGACATTCTATACACACCATTACACACTCACTGCAACTACTGGACTCTACACACTGTCACTTTAAACCACTTTAAACTCTGACTGCACAAGTTTGTTTTTGCACAACTGTAAATACGAAACGGTGAATACCAAACAATTGCCTCAAATTCTCTTAATATTAATACTTTAGTGTTTTTGTGATGGCCAAACCCATAGTAGCCACACTCTAAAGTCGGTAACTCTTGTATTTTCAATCCTTTGTTAGAACACAATAACTAGTGATGTGTCCTGTGTGTCGAAGCTTCGAAGCGTGTGTTGGGTAATCTCGGGGGAGTTTTTGTGAAGCGCGTATCGAGGCTCGCTTTGATTACGTGTGCAGTGACGCTCGAGGCCTCGCGGGCAGTCCGTACCACGTGACTGATTCAGGAACTGGCTCGCCGGTTCGCGCCAGATTCGAAATAAAATGGGCAGCAAAACACAGCTGATTCCCCATCACACTGTGTTGTGGAATTGGATTACGTATGTGCTACATAGTTACTTCAGCTATTCTTTCTTCGATGGAACCAGCAAGGAAGAGATTTATTTTATTTCATCTCCTAATAAAGTATGCACACAGTAATAAATATCACAAAGATAAGTACCATAATACAAATAAACAACACTACAGATCCTATAATCAGATTTCTGTCTTTTAGTTTATTAAAAAGTGAAGAGCCACAGTTTGTGTGATTATCCAGATGTACATAAGCATGATTACACAGTTACACAATCATACCAAAGCTCTGTCCTGATAGTTTCCACTTTCTCTTTTGTATCAGACATGCTGAGACAATATTCGGGATAAATAACCATGAAAACAATTTATTTATTCAGTTTAGAGGTTTACACATCCCATCAAAGAGTCTGTTTCACTTGAATCGTCCACTTGATGGCGCAGTAGAGCAAATGAATCATCACAATGCTTTGAACCATGAGTCCATATATTTTTTGGGTTAAATAAATGGCAATCCTATTTTTCCAATAATTACTCCTACTTTTTCAACTCGGTCCATCACAGTTTTGTAAGTTATTTTTTATTTTTATTATTATTATGGTTATTTTCTTCTTTAATACAACTGCACACTTATATATATTTTCATGTAAAGCTGATGAGCATGAGAAAAAGAATTTCATTACAGGTAAATGTGGCTATACTGTTTATCTGTGCATGACAATAAAAATGTTCAACTTGAGAAGTTCTCTACTCTCTGTTGATTGGACAGGAAAGTGTAGTTCAACGAAACACATTAGACTTTCACTATCACTATAGGGTCTGTGTTCTCCACTTGCTGTTGCTTGACGAAAAAACCAAGAGGGTTTGTTGTGTGTTTGTTTGCACTGACTCAACAGGATTTCAATCAGAAGAGACACGTAAAAACTCAAGTTGAATCATATCTGCTTTTTTCACTTCAGTTCAGCTGTTTCTCCTAATGGAGTGTTATAGCCACAATATGAAAAACAATTTTGTTCAGTTGAAAGTTTGAGATTAACCTCAAAATACTGTTTTGAGAATAAAGTCAAAAACAAGAAAAACTGTCACATCTGCTACACCCTCTACAAAATGCCTTGTGTCGATGAGTTACTGAAAATTACTTCAGAATGAGTTTTAGTAACAAATAAATTATGTCTTTTTAGCACACAAGAA